CCGGCCCCTCCTCCGGCCCCCTGCCCCCTCCCCAGCCCTTCCGGCCCCTCCTCCGGCCCCCTGCCCCCTCCTCCAGCCCCCCCCCAGCCGTCTCCTCCGGCCTTTGTCCAGTGTCCCGGGCAGAAGGGGTCACCTGGCCCCAGCCCCCTCCCGGCTCAGGTGACACTCAGGTGTCGCCCCTCAAGTGAAGTCACCCCGAGATCCCCCCCAGCCAGCACCGATGCAGGGAGTGCCCGTAACACTCCCCCTCCCTGCTCCGTCACACCTGCCCAGAGCCGCAAGAGAACCCAGGCATCCGGCTCCCGGCCCCCCCTGCTCTGACCACCAGACCCTGCTCCCCTCCCAGAGCTGGGGGGAGAACCCAGGAGTCCTGGCTCCCAGCCCCCAGTCTCACTTGAACCCACTGGACCCTTTGGAGAGGTGCTGAGTGGGGGTCAGGCTCTGCCCAGTCCACACAGCCCCATAGCCCAAAGGCTGCCTGGTGGTGGAGGTACAAGCCACAGCCTGGTCCATACAGCCCCGTCTCTGCCCCCCACAGTACGGGGAAGGGGAAGCTCTGTGTATGGGAAGCCTCTTCCCCTGGTCTGTCCACGCCCCCATTACCCCAACATTGGGGGGGGCTGGTTTTTGGAGGTTCTGGGGGAGGTCGGGTTGTACTGCCCCATCTGTGCCCCCCAGTATCCTGAAGGTAGTGGCGTGGCCTGGTTTTGCAGGGGGCTGTGGGGGTTGGGCTCTCCCAGTCCATATGGCCCCATCTGTGCTCCCCAGGTGGGGGTGCTTGGGGGGGTTGGGACAGGGGGCTTGGGCTGTCCTGGTCCGTACGGCCCCGTGCGTGCCCCCAGGTGCTGGGTTTGGGGGTGCTGGGGGGGTTCAGCTGTCCCAGTCCGTATCGCCCCGTATGTGCCCCCAGGGGGTGGGTTTGGGGGAGCTGTGGGGTCTCAGCTGTCCCAGTCCGTATCGCCCCGTATGTGCCCCCAGGGAGTGGGTTTGGAGGAGCTGGGAGGGCTCAGCTGTCCCAGTCCGTATCGCCCCGTATGTGCCCCCAGGTGCTGCAGGGCCTGGATTACCTCCACACCAAGTGCAAGATCATCCACACGGACATCAAGCCGGAGAACGTGCTGCTGTGCGTGGGCGAGGGCTACGTCCGGCGCCTGGCGGCCGAGGCCACCCGCTGGCAGCAGCTGGGGGGGCCGCCCCCCTCCGCCTCCGCCGGTAGGGCTCCCGCCAGCACCGGGGGGAGGGGGGCTGGGGCCCGGACGCCCGGGTTCTCCCCCGGCGCTGGGGGGGAGTGGGGTCTGCTGGTTAGAGCGGGGAGGGGGCCTCAGACCCCCGGGTTCTCCCACAGCTCTGCGGGGGAGTGGGGTCTGGTGGTTAGAGCTGGGGGGGGCCCGGACGCTTGGGTTCTCTCCGTGAGTGTCTGTTGATGCTTTTCTCTTCGGATGCCCTTTGTGTTCTGAGAATCTCGACCTCGTCTCCCCCCAGTGAGCTCAGCCCCCCAGGGGATGGAGGTAAGTTCTGCGTGGGGGGGGGGCTGGATGCCCTCACACACCCACTGTCTCGCACGCCTGCCCGGGCACCTGCTCGCTCTCCCTTCCCCACTGGGCACACATCTCTGTCCACCTGGTTCCTTCCCCGCACGGCCCTTTGCACGCTCGGGTCCTTCCCTGCCTGCCTGGCACGGCCCTTCGCACACTCGGGTCCTTCCCTGCCCTCCTAGCCCGCCCCTTCGCACGCTCGGGACCTTCCTGGCATGTCCCTTCGCACGCTGGGGTCCTTCCACGCCCATCTGGCATGTCCCTTCACACGCGGCTCCTCTCGCACGCCTGGGCTTCTGGTCACACTGCGGCCGGGTGCGCGGCTTCGTCCCCATGTGGTGCCTCGTTCCCCCTCCCGGTCCCCCCCCGCCACACGGGCGCTAACCGGGTCCCGGCAGATGTCCAGGAACCGGCGCAGGAAGTTGAAGCGGAAGCAGAAACGGCAGGGCCGGCTGCTGGCCGAGCGGCTGCGGGACCTGCAGCGGCTGGAGGAGCTGGAAACGGGGGCCCCCCCCCCGCCTGGGGCTGACTCCGACACAGAGGAGGGTGAGAGTCAGCAGGGTTGTGGGGGACCCTGGGGGAGGGGGATATGGGGGGTTAGCGGGGGAGGGG